GTGGAGCGGGAGTGTTCTTGAGGATCCTGTTGGTACCCAGCCCACAACCCTCAGACCTCACCACATCAGTTCATACTGGTTAACTTCCAACTGCTAGCATCTGCATCTCTCTGCTTGACAGTGTTCTCCCAAGCTGCAGAAAATCACTCTGCCTGTGTGCCTGGCACACAGCCCTCAATCAATGACACCCGGAAGTTAGTGTATAAACACCCCAGCTCCCTCCTCTGGGTGGGTGTGGGGGAGCACTGGATAACTCTGTTGTATATGCCGTACACCACTATTTCCCAGGATTCCCCAGTGGGATTACACTTCAGTCCCCTTATAGTGGTAGCCGGCTGATAAGACAGCTTTTATTGGTCTTTTTCCCTTCCCTACTCATTTTTCCCACCTCCCTACCTATGGTTCCTGCACCTCCCAAATAAGTTACTTATGCTTGAATCATTGTCTCGGGTCTAGGGGAATCCCAACTAAGACAAAGAAATCAAGAATATCTTCCAAATCTTATCTCTTATTACAAATTCCACCTCTTGTTCAGTCTTTCTCACTGCCTCTTTTAAAACAATAGGAGCACAGTCAAGCTTATCAGTGAACCTCAGTCATTGATGGTACCAACGAAATGAAGAGTGTTTTTAATAAACCAGATTGCCAACTGTTCTCCTCATCCTAACCCTTAGGCCTGCTAAAAATCAGAGTTTCCATTTTCTTTTCCAACCACTGAGTACAGCTATCCTACCTATGTTCACATTTTCAAAACCAACAAGGAACAGACAAGACAATGAGCCAAGAGGATCCAGGGAATGGCCAAAATGGAAGAGGCAGGAGACTGAGGGGCCTTTTTTGTTTCCTCTTCACTGGACAGTTCAGCAAATGCCCTGAGACATGAAGGCCGCAAATGATTAGCAACAGCATCAAAAGATATTTATTAGGCATTGATTCTATGAGGAACCAAACTGTCTCATCACAAGCCAGGGGGCAAAGAGGCCTGACTTGCCATATGCCATATATCTTAGGAAAGCATGGTTGTTTATACAGTAGCATCTTACATGTCACAAAGGATTCAGAATCATCACTTTCCATTTTCCTTCTTTTGACATGGATTGACTGTGAGGAGGGTTTTTTTAAAAAAGCAAAAACTACACAAAGATCCTTTGGCTTAAGTACAAAAACACTTGGCACAAAGGAATGCTGTTAAAGCCCATCAGGTACTATGTAAACATGATCCTTTTTACAAACAAGAGGATTCAGAAGATACCAGGTGCACAGCCTCAACGCTGGTGAGGGAGGAGCAGAGATGAGAGGTGTAAGAATCTGTACTCTTGCCCGATCAAAGGGTACTGAAGACGGAGCACAGGCTTTGGAATTGGGCGCAGACTTTGGAATCAAACAAAATTTATCCCTTACTAGCTGGTGATGTTGGGCATGTTATTTAGCCTTGGTTTCCTGATATGCAAAATGGAGATCATATGGCCATTTCATAGGGTAGCTGAGGTGAAGAAGTAACTGACAGCCAGCAATGAGGCAGAGCAAGCATTCCATCAACATTACTTCCCTTCTCTGTTCAACTGTTTATAGCTGAAGGCAACCTGACAAATCCACCCTGACTCATTAAAAGCCTGAGGAAAAACCAGCTCAGGATTCTCAAGGCACAGGGAATTGCTGCTCAGAAAAAAAAAGGATGACACCCATGGGTAAGTTTCTTCCTGGGGCCTTCCGTGCCTCTTCTAAAGTCCTCCTGTGCTGAAGAACAGGAGCTTCTTAAAAATGAGGGCTGCACCTTACAAGTCTGTATCCTTAGCATTTATTGCAGTGCTTGGCAGGTCAGAGGTGAGCAAGCTTGTGCTGTGGGAATAGCACACCCTTTTGAATTAGTCTAGCCTGGGTTCAAATCCCAGTTCAGCTACTTGCCTTTGGACAACTTACTTCCCTGAGCTTCGTTTGTATCCTTATCTGTAAAATAGCTAATAACATCTACTTGAAAGTGTTGCTGTGAGGATGAACTGAGAAAATAGATGTAAGGAGCTTAGTAGAGTGCCTGACACAGTGTAGGCACTCAAAAAATGTTACCCCTTTATTAATAAACATCTGCTGAATGGACCCATGCATAACAAGAACTCCATTCAATTAATAACACACCCACACTCACACACCCCACAATAAAAACACGCAAATCACATTTTTCTTTATGAGTATCAAGATGTAGCCACAGATATTTCTCTGAGTGGCAAAGGTTTCTTCCAGCTCTGACCTTGTACAGCATAACCACAGCAAGCTATGATCTGTACTTGGGATATACCCCATGAACAAATCACACCGCCTGCCTCCAGCCCCATCCCAAGGTGCTTTATAGGAAAATCTGGTTACAAACAATGTCAAGTGAGTCTCACAGAATCTCTCCCAAGGTTTGTATTAATTATGAATGGGAAAAGTGTAACTTTACAGTGGAAAAACCCAACAGACACTATCTTAACCAAGTAATCAAGGTTAACACTGCCAGTCATAAGACATACTGATATTATGTGCTCCCTGATATGATACAGTGATATGGGCATGACTTCTGTGGTCTTCTTGTAGAAACTGAAAAACCCCAGTTTAATCGGGGGAAAACATCAGACGAACCCAAAATGAGGGCCATATAAAATAAAAATAACTGGCCAGTGGTCTTCAAAAGGGTCAAGGCCATGAAAGACAAGGAAAGACTGAGGAACTGTCAGAGGCTGGACGAGACTGCAGAGACAATGAAAAGTAAACATAGTGTGAAACCCTGGGCTGGATTTGAAGAAAGTTCGGAGTCTAGTTTAAAAAAGAAAAAAATGTCGAGGTCATCCTCACAGGGGAAAGAGTGACCAAAGGGCCAGCTGAGGGGGTACACGGAAGGAGGGAAGGCTTATCCCAGGCATTTGACACAGGAGTTCAAGTAAGGCTTTCCCTTTATATTTGAGGAAAACTAGGCCCAGGGAGTGAGGAGCCCTGGTGGCGCAGTCATTAAGCACTTGGCCGCTAACCAATAAATAGGTCAGCGTTAGAACCCACCAACTACTCCGTGGGAGAAAGATGCGGGAGTCTGCTTCTGTAAAGATTACCGCCTTGGAAACTCCATGGGGCAGTTCACTCTGTCCTATAGGGTTGCTAAGTTGGAATCAACTCAAAAGCAGCAGACAATAGGTTAGGTCCAGGGAGGGGAATTTCTCAGGCTCAGATCATGGGATGATTTGACAGAACTACTGCAGGATGCCACACTGCCTCCTCCAGGCTGTTGGTATTCACTGCAGCCATATACGTGCTAACCAAGAATGAGAACAGCTTACAAATATTACATAGCAGCAGACACTGGGCCCCACCTAGACCTCAGCATCAGATTCTTTTGAGATTGGATCCTGGGCATCTCTACGTGGAAAAGTTTTCTATGAGACTCAGGTACACAGCAAGCCTTGAGAGCCACTAATTCTGCAAGCTGGAACGTGTACGAATGTCTATGTGCAGGCACATGCTCACGCAAGTTTTAAGTTCTAGAATGTATCTGTAGAGTTGTACTATATCATTTCCATTTTCCTTCACTGTCCCCCTACCCCCAGCCCCAAATGTTTCCCTTGACTCTCTCCACTCTCTGTCCTTGCCCACATCTGGTGCTCAGGGTCCACTCTCTATGTATTTGATCCCCTGACCTTTCTCAGCCTTCCTGTTTCAATGTACCTGAGATGAGATGGTGGTTGCCTTGGTGACAACAGAATCCATTCCTTCTGGTATTCATTCATTCATGCATGAAAACTATTTGGAGCCCTGGGGATACAGTAACACACAAGACAGAAAAGATTTTTACTCTCCTGGAGCTTACATATTCACAGCGGGAGACAGTCAACAAAGTAAGAAAAATACAAGAAAACAGCACTAGTGATAGTATGATGAAACTGAACAAGGATGATGTGGTAGGGAGTAAAAGAAGGGCTGTTTCGTTTGGGTGGATAAGGAAGGTAACATTTAAGCTTAGACCTAAACAAGAGGGCCAGCCCTGAAAATACCTGGAGAAGAACATTCCAGGCAAAGGGAACAACTGGGCAAAGGCCCTAAGGCATGAGCAAGCCTGGCATGTTGAAGAAAGACAATGTCCCGGATCACAGTGAGTGGAGCGGCAGGGAGTGGTCCCAGACTAGGGCCCAGTAATTAGTGTGGGGAGACAATGGATTGTTCCAGATAGGGGAGTGCCAGAATCTAACTTAGGTTTTAAACAAATGTTCTGGCTGTTGTGTGGAGAATGAACCGGGGAGGCTTGGGAGAGTGTGTCACAAGAGTAGAAGCAGAAAGCCCAGATTAAGAGGGTATTGCAGTTAACCAAGTAAATGATGATGGTGGCCTGGGCTTAGGGTGGTAGAGATAAGAATAGCAGATGGATTTAGGATACGTTTTGGAAGAAAAGCTAAAATGACCTGTTGGTAAACAAGCTGTAGGGAATGAAGGAAAGGGGGAATCAGGATTGCTCCCGGGATCTTGTCTTGAGCACACTGAGGTGTCATAGTATCACTTGCTAAAAGAAGGAATCCTGGGAGAGGACAAAGTTGGGGGTGAGAAATGAAGAGTCATATTTTAGACCTGTTAAGTTTGAGATACCTACTAATGAACAGACTGAAACCCCATCTTACACGTTATGTATTAAACAGACAAAGGACTATGAGATCCCAGACTTGGCCTTCCTTTCCCATTCCCGGTTAAAAAGGAAAAAAGAGAGCGATAACAGAATAAAATACTCAGTCTTTTGTAAAAACATTCTTATGTTCAGAGGTCTGGTAGTAGAGCCACATCTTTCCCAAACAAGCATAAGTAGCCAATCAATCACTGTGTCACACCAAGCCAATTGTTCAGGGGGCAAACTAATGAAAAATTTAATCTCCTGATTTTCATCTTAATCTGTTTTTCCCATTAGCTTTGATCAATGCCCACAAATACAATTTAGCAGAATTTTTCATTTAGATAAATGACTGAGTGGGGTACCTAATTAGTCTGTTTGTTATGAACCAGTTGATAAAAATTTATATGCTAATTACTAAAAACCATACACTAATTTTTAAAGCATTTTATTAGCAGGAAAGCTGTGTTCTTTTATCAAATGAAATACTCTTTCTACATTACACTCACTAATGGTTCAAACATGTTTCTCTTTACTTTCAGAAGTAATGCTTCACTGTGCGGTAGAGGAGAGCAGTGCACTTGGACATGTCTGCTCACTCCCACCCTTACCCGGCACCATAACACAAGCGATAGTGAATGTACCAAACAGGAAGATTCCATGAACATCTCAGCTACCTGGGGGCCTCTGCTGCACCCTGAAAAAAACAAAAAAGAAATCAGTCTAGAAACCACATAAAACAATGAAGCAAAATGAATGTGGGGACTAGTTCGAGCAAGGGCAAACCTTCCAGCCTGTTCCAGTGTCAAGGTGGCTGACAAAGAAGATCACGGCTCTGCTCACTAGGTCTGCTCGTCAGGAGATATCCATTTGGTGGCCTTCTTTCCTATCATCAATGGCAATATTTGTACTGCTTTCAAGTCCCACAGTACCTCTCTGGATGCCAAAATCCTTAAGTTCTTTCAAGTAAGAGGTTACCATGGAGATCTTCATTTTTAAAATAAAAGTCAATAGCTCTGGTCTCTTGTAACCTTTTAAGTCCCTTTAACAGGGCTTTCCCTACTTGTATTTTCACTACCACTTCAATAAAGCGGTGAGAAGAGTGAAGAATGGTGTCTCAAATCAGTGAAAACCCATAAAGACACCTCCTCAAGGGGTCATGGCCTCAGACACAGGAGGAGAGATTCCCAGGCAGCAGGTGTAGTGGGTGGGCCTGGTTTCATAGATTAACCTGAAAGGGGAAGAAAATGGTATTCGGGCCGCCAAAGCCCTCTGTACACACAAGTTCTACGGCGATAAAGTCCTGGCTACTAGGCATCAGTAAGGTGTCTTCCCACACATTACATCTGCCACCTCCAGCAGCCTAACACTAACCAGGTTCTGGGGTGAGTATTCAACATAGAGCTACTTAACATCCTTCCCAGCACCGCCCACCTCCACCCCCGTCCCTCTCCCTTCCCTCTCAGGTCCCCATAACAGAACAGCCCCTCGCCCTCAGGTACCCCCCACAGGCCCCTCCTCTGGGCCCCTCTCTCACCCGACACCTGCTAGCATCAAAACCTCGGAGCCGCTCTGTCAGGCGACCTGGAGTAGTGTGGCAAGGATAAGAAAGAAGAAGGAGACAAGGGGGCAGATTCTTCCTCAAATTCTTAGCTTTCAAAGGGTTCCACAGCAACCGGGGGGGGGGGGGGGAGTGAAGGAGGCTGCGTACCGGAAGCGGAAATCGGGCGCGGGTTGAGATTGCCGCCATGATGTGTGTGGCAGTCGGGGACGTGGACCCGTAGGCTCGATTTCAGCCGGCAGGCAGGGAGGGTGGAGGATTCATTCTCTGCAGGAAGATGGGATTATTTGAGATATTTGAGAAGTAGGGGTTAAGGAGGGGTGGGAGTGGCAGGGAAGTGGATGTGGCTATAAAGAGCAACCTGAGGGATAGGTATGGTGATGGAATGTTTTGTATCTTAAGCATCTATGTCAGTATCCCAGTTGTGATATTGTACTATAGTTTGCAAGATGTTACTACTGCGAGAATTAGGTAAAGGGTGCAGGAGATCTCTCGGTATTATTTTTTTACACCTGCATGTGAATCTACAATTATCTCAAAATAAAAAGGTGATTTTTTTTTTTTTTAATGATCGCTGACTCACACATAATTTGGTCTGGCGGTGGTTGAGGGCACAGCTGGTACAGAATAGAAGACTCCCCAACCTAGTTCTGGCTTTAGGAGGCTGAAGGGGCAGGCTTGGAGTCTGTCAGCCTGCCTTAAAATCCTGGCTCTTGTGCTCACCAGAGTGAGCCTTCCTTTCCTCATCTCTAAAATGGGGATTTTAATGATACCTCTTTTAATATTTCTAGGGTAATTGCTGGGTGCCACGGAGTCGATTTTCAACTCATAGTGATGCCGTGTGACAGAGTAGAATTGCCCCATAGGGTTTTCTAGGTTGTAATCTTTTCAGGAGCAGTTCGCCAGGTCTTTCTACTGTGAAGCTGCTGGATGGGTTCGAACTGTCAACTTTTCAGTTAGCAGCTGATTACTTAACCATTGTGTAACCAGGGCTCCTTCTAGGATAATTATGAGGGATAAATTAGTTAATACATTTAAAGCATTTAAAACAGTGTCTGACTGACTATAAATGTTAGCCATTGTTATAATTTTGCCATTAATCATTCAGGAAGCTGGAACTGTGTACATATGACAAACAAAAATATCTCTGCCCCTAAAAATAAGTGAGAATTGAAAAGCAACCTTGGTCTTCTTGGATATGTTACAGAGCTATAGTAATCATGACTGTGTGGTGTTTGCATAAATATATACAAATTGGTAAATGAAAACAACAGAGTCTAAAAATAGCTCCACACATATTTGGTAAAGATCACAAGGCAGTTAAATGGGGAAGGTATAATGTTTAACAAAAAGTGTTAGAATAATTGGATAACCATATTTGAAAAAAAAAACAATTTTGACCTTTACCTCAATCAAAATAGAAGGACTAAAACTATAAAACTTCTAGAAGAAAACATACGAGAACATTTTAGTGACTTTGGGTTTGGTGAATATTTCTTAAGCACAACACAAAAATTAGGAACAATGAAAGGAAAAAGATCAATAAATTGGACTTAATTAAAATCACTGTCTCTTGCTCTTCAGTAAACACCATTAAAGAAATGAAAAGTAAAGCCACAGACTGGGAGAAAATAGTTGCAGAACATATATTTGACAAACTGTTTCTATCTAGAATATATAAAGAACTCATACGACTCAAAATTAAGAAGACAAATAACCCAATAAAAAAATGAGGAAAATATTTGAGTAAACACTTTGCCAAAAAAGATACATGGATGACAGATAAGTACATGAAAAGATGCTCAATAACTTCATTGGGGAAATGCTGATGAAAATCACAAGTTACCACCACACACCCGTTAGAATGGCTAAAATTAAAATGCTGACCATACCAAGTATTGGAAATGGTATGGAATAATTAGAACTCTCATACATTGCTGATTGAAATGTAAAATGGTCGAATCATTTTGGAAAACATTTTGGTAGTTTCTTGAAAAGTTAAGCATACCCCTATCATATAATCCAACCATTCCACTCCTGATATTTACCCAAGAAAAATGAAGTCATATGTCCACACCAAGACTTTTACACAAATATTCACAGCATTTTCATTTGTAATAGCCAAAACTGGAAACTCTTGGAAGAAGTGCAGCCAGAATGCTCCTCAGAAGCAAGGACGGCAAGACTTTGTCTCATATACTTTGGACATGTTATCAGAAGGGACCAGTCCCTAGAGAAGGACATCATGCTTGGTAAAGTAGAGGCTCAGCAAAGAAGAGGAAGACCCTCAATGAGATGGATTGTCACAGTGGCTGCAACAATGGGCCCAAGCATAACAACGAATTGTAGGGATGGTGCAGGACCAGGCAGTGTTTCGTTCTCTTGTGCATGGAGTCGCTATGAGTCGTTAAGTGACTCAATGGCACCTAACAACAGCAAACTGGAAACAACCCAAATGACTATCTACAGGTGAGTGGATAGACCAGTTGCGTTCTATCCATACAATGGAATACTATTCAGCATTAAAATGGATGAACTATTGATATGTGCACCAATGTAGATGGATCTCGAAGTAATTGTCCTAGTGAAAGAATCCAAACAAAAGAGCATATACTGTATGGCTGGAGCCCTGGGACGGTACAGAGTCCCATCTCTTCTTGTCTCAACAGGGGTTCCTAACTTCTTTCGTGCTTGGGAGCCCTTTGGCAGTCTGGTGATGCCTATGGACACTTGAGAATAATGCTTTAAATGCTTAAGATATGTAGGATTACAGTTACGTTGAAATACCATTATCAAATTTTTTTAATTGTGAGAATACTCCACGTGCTCCTGTATTAAGCAGTGCATGAGGTTAGAATTGCATAGCAAATTCTTACAGTGGGTCTAATAACCAATTCTGAAGCGCAGATGAACATAAACTTTTTCAACGTATCTGTAACAACTTTAATAGGATATAAAATATCTGTGATTTCTATGGATTTCAATAGGGACTGATAATATTACTATCGTTCATTGTCTACATTCCAAACTGAAGTGCTACATTTCAGTTAGAAGTTAGTGGACATAAAGATATTTTTCCCTAGCCAAGTTCACAGGCCTGAATTCCCTCCACAAACACATCAGGGTTGTGTGGACCCAGGATAAGAGTACATGGACTAGCACTTCGGAGAGGAGAGCCATGGAGAAGAGGAACTTGCGAACAGCTGGTTATGAGGGCAGACAGCCAGAACGCTGTTCCCAGGGCAGGTGTTTTGTGTGAACGACCATCTTCATTCCATGCCCCTGATTAGGAGCTGCAGCCAGAGTTTGACTACGGAAGGTTGCAGCCCCTCATGCACCTCTCGAAGTACCTAGGAACTTCAAAAACATGCCTGAGAAGAATACCACTTAGATTTAGGGCACAGCATGCTATCAACGGCCTGAGCAAAGCTTTGCAAATTTCCAATTTTCAGTCATCTAGTCTAATTCTGCAGGGCATTTGTTAGAGGCACATTTTCCCAAAGAAAATTGTTTAATAGCTTAATACAAAAGGAACTCCTCAGCAGAAGCCGGCCCTGCTTTTACCAAAGCAGCTGGCAGGGCCCCGCTGGCTCCTGACCTCAAAGAACGCCCTGCCATTTGCGAGGAGCCCATGGCATCTGCTTTGAAAGGTCAGGCACTGTATTTTGTCATTTGTGAAGCTCACCAGGTTTACGATCCTGCTTTCAGGCTCCCCATGGCTCAATTAACTACTGATGATTCTTTACAGTGTGGCAAGCCCCAAGGCCCCTTCTCTCTGCCTCATTATTTTATATATTTTGAAATGCAGGCTTTTTAAGTTAAAGATAAATTTTACTGCTTTTTTTTTTTTTTTTAAAGAAAAGCGTGTCTCTTGTTGGTAGGAAGATTAGAAAATATGAATAAGAAAATAAAAAATCATCACCTCCCAAAGAAAAAGAAAACCTCTTTGAAATTCCTTGTTTGTTATTCCTCTAGATGTTTTCCCACGTACATATGAATATAACAGGTAAAGAGTGCCTCCCCCAATGTGTTAGCTTTAATAGAGACCACCAACCAGTTTTCCAACATGGTTGTACCAATTTATACCGTAAAAGCAATGTGTGGGGGTCCCTCGGCAGTGCAAACAGCTAAGCACTCAGCTACTAACGGAAAGGTTGGCGGTTCAAATCCACCTAGAGGCACCTCAGAAGAAAGTCCTGGTGATCTACTTCCAAAAGATCACAGCCATTGAAAACCCTGTGGAGCACAGTTCTACTCGGAAACACATGGGGCCACCATCAGTTGGAATCAGCTCGGCAGCAACTGGTTTTAGCAATATGTGAGAATTTCAGTTGTTCTGTATCTTTGCCAGCATTTGGTATTTTCTGTCTTTTCATTTTACCCACTGTGGTCTTAATTTGCATTTCGTGTGCTTATTGGTTATTTGAATATCCTCTTCTTCTAAAATGTCTGTTTAAATCTTTCACACATTTTTCTATTGCATTGTATTCCTTTCTCTTATTGATTTGTAAAGAATTTATTATATACCCTGGATACAAGTCCTTTGTTAAGTATATGAATTGCAAGTATCTTTCTAACTCTGTGGTTTCACTCTCTTAATAGTGTCTTTTGATGAACAAAAGATCTTAGTTTAATAAAGTTCAATTTGTTATTTCTTTTCCTTTGTATTTGGTGCTGCTGTTAGGATTTTTCTTAAAATAATTTGGTCAGGCTCACTGAAGTTAAGATGCATGGATGTGGTGTTTTTTCTGCTTAGCCTCTCCTGTGTAGGCTCTGTGTACACAGGACAGGCCTGCGTGCCACTGAAATGCACAGTGTTCAGCATAGCGAGCCACATACATAATTTTACATTTTCTGGAAGCCACAAATAAGAAAACTCAAAAGAAACAGGTAAAATTAATTTTAATAGTATATTTTATTTAACACAATATATCCAAAATGTTATTTCAATATTCATGTTTTAAAATTTTCACTGCCTCAGTTTTTAAATATAAATTGTAGCTACACTAGCCACATACTTTGGACAGGTTATCAGGAAGGACTAGTCCCTGCAGAAGGACATCATGCTTG